CCGCAGATGCGATTTGCTCCTAAAGCTCCGCCTCGCAGAGCGCCACCAAAGGTGGAGGTTAAATCGTACGTATCGCTATTTCCCATAGCAATGCACATGCCGTTTCTTGAGTTAAACTGCTGTTTTACCTGTTTGCTTGTTGCAGTGAGAAGGTAGAGGACGCTGATGATGTTCAGGCCAAGGATTTGCTCCAACGTTTCAATGTAATTTGCTTCTGTTACATCTTGCATTTTTCTGGTTCCAATTTCTTAGTCATCTTGTGTTTTTTTAATCTTTAATTTCCTCTTTTCTTTATAGCAAGCGTCCCTGAGGTCAAGGCCTAAAGTCGAAAAGAAGGGTAGGTTCCTCTTCATTTATTTGTTTCTGATTACCAAATTCTTATTGGAAAATTTGAAGTTTTCACCAGCATTGGTCAAAATAACATCAGGGCATCACAAAATTGTTTGTGTGCACATTCACACCAATGTATTAGTTTTATGAAAGTGTTATGGGAGCCAAACTAAATCCTTTAGTCAAGAAGTTTATATTCGTTGTAACATGATTAGAATTTCCATGAGTTACTTGCTTGTTGAATAAGACTAACTGGAGCATGAGGCAATTAAATCAATAAATTTATAACCATAATATTTTCCAGATAAGCAGTGATATTAGGTAGTGTAAGCACAAGTGTTTTTTTTTTTTTTTTTTGGCATAGTTCTGAAAGGCTATTTGGCTCTAACAGGAATCAGATCAGATTAACAAAGCATCTCTACTTTTATCATTGTTTGTTATGACTGATAAACTCTGATTGATCAATGGCTTTAATTTACCAGTAAATGTACCAGCTACTTTTTTGCTTGAATCTTACTGAAAATGTTGAAATTTAAAGCACATTTCATACATTCTTTGAGATTGAAGATATCACTTTGGTCATTCTATAATACAAATTTTAACTTTCACATTTCATTTTATCTTTAAAATATGCAGTTGCAGCTTCTCAAGTAGCATTTGGTTATGGAGGTGGATCAACTACAATGAAATCATTTGGTGTTCCTAGGGGTGCATTTGGTAGTAGCAGGGATCAAGGTGAGCGTAAATCACATGCTATCCTTGGAAATGACAGTGACCATTGATTGCGATTCTTCAAGGACATCATACTGGTTTTGATATTTCTGCAGGTGATGCCAATACCCTAGGTCTAAGTGAGGAAAAAGAATACAAAGAACCATGGGTAAGTAAAACCTTGGTTTAGCTGAGTGAATCAGGATGAGTGGTTTCCTTTCTTTATTAGTCTCTATGCATGCTTGAATGCATACAATATATCAGTTTCTCTTTCTTTGGATGCTTGTGCAGGACTATTACAGTTATTATCCTGTAACACTTCCTATGAGGAGAACCTATTCAGGAAATCCAGGTATGTTGCTAGTTTTGGAATGTATGAGATTTTGTTTTATTTTTCCTGTTTTACTTCTTTATAAATTTAATTTAACCACTTCTGTTTTTCCCTTTTATCACTGTAGAGCTTCTTAATGAGGAGGAATTTGGGGAGACTTCAGAAACTAGAATACTTGATGAAAATTCAAGGAATCTAGCGGAAGAACTTGGTCTATTGGTAATTAACCTTATAGTTCAAGATCAAATGATGTGGTTTCCATGATTTGTTTAAAATATTATTAAGTTTTGATTGGTAGGAGGAGAAATTGGAACCTACTATGTTCTTTATTCAGTTACCACCCACTGTACCTATGGTAAAGAAATCAGAAAGTGTAGAGGAGCATAAGGTAGATGGCAGCTCAAAGCCACCAGCTCGTGAACCTGCTAAAGGGAAGCCATCTGGTTTGGATGAGTTACCACCAGGCCTCATGGGTAAAATGCTAGTTTATAAAAGTGGTGCTGTCAAGTTGAAGCTAGGGGATACCCTTTTTGATGTAAGTAACTTGACAATAAAACAGAAAAATGCCTGTGTAAGCTATTCTAAGTATTTGACCACTGAAGTATGAATAATAAAGTTAAAAGGTTGTGAAAACATTGTTGTACTGTATTATAACCTCTTTAGTATTTGATTTTACTTGAAACTAATAGATTTCTTTCAAATTTTGAACCCGCCATTGGGTTGGACAAATATCATTTTATCATATATCTAACTATTTTATGAAATTGGTGTCAGGTATCCCCAGGTTTGAATTGCGTGTTTGCCCAAGATGTTGCTGCCATTAATACCACCGAGGGGCACTGTTGTGTTGTTGGGGAGCTAAACAAGCGTGTCGTTTTGACACCAGATGTTGATTCTATTTTAGATAGCATGAATGATCTCTGATGTTTTTACTAGTTTACATGCAAAGATTAAATTGATAGGTTAATATTAGAAAGGAGAAATTTTACATTTTTAAGATATACTGAATCATAAACTGCAACAAGATCACAACTTGGAACACAACTTGGAACATTTACAAACTCCTTTCGAAAAAGGAGAAGGAAAATAAATACTAATCCAGTGTTGTCCCTTTTCTTTCTAAGCTATGTGTTCTGAAGAAGAATTAGGATTTTTTTAGGTGCTGAATCTTGATTTAGGTAGTAGAGTGGAGAGGTTGGCGTGGGTCACTTGTTTGTTTAAACCAGGCTTGAACACACGAATTCAATTTCTACTCTTCTATTTGTGATCTTGGATTCTAATGTTCATTTTATCTAAGAAAATATTAGTTCTTCTATGATTGTCTGTGGATGTAATAGTTTGTGATTCAAAAAGTTCAGACTTGCTTAAAATGTCATTCTAAAATTGAATTGAAAATAGGTAATTGACAATAATTGTTGACGACAAATCTTAACAATATATATTTACTCATTTGATATGATTGATATCATGTAATTGTTATAAGGACTGATTAATGAATGTTGTCAACAAATTATGGTCGTTCAAAAATCAAAATCAACTATCATTTGAAGCTTGTGAATTTAAATCCTTGATTTAGTTAGGACAGAATTCTTTAATCATTACAACGATTATGTGAGGGACAGGTGATTCTTATTTGTGGGATTTGATGAAATATAACTGACTACTACTAAAGTAGTAAGAGAACTGCATTCCTTCGACAACTATAAGGTAAAAGCACCCACATATTATTCATACACTCGAGGTTACTCTTCTTTATTTCTGAAATGCAAACATCCCAACTTTGGGCTGGCTTACTACTTAAATCTGGTATAACTTTATCTGTGCTCCATGTTGTGGTTGAAGAGTCATGACAGTGTAAGGAGCATGGGAGTAAGAAGGTGAGAGCTCAAATGAGAAATGCTGCAGAATCACGGCCAAAGCGACCTTAGCTTCTAGCATGGCAAAGTTTTGGCCAATGCAGGTCCTTGGGCCCCGACTAAAAGGGAAGAATGCTGGTTGATCTTTGGAAGCTTTAAAAACTCCTTCAGAAAATCTCTCTGGTTTGAATTCTTTAGCATCATCGCCCCATAGTTCAGGATCATGATGAATGAGCAGCGTAGGCAGTATTATATCAACCCCAGCTGGAATACAGATTTCTCCTATCCTTGTTTTCTTGTAACAATGTTGGTATTGAGCTATGACTGGAGGATACAACCTCAGAACCTCATAAAGCACCATGGTTACCTGCAGGAAAATATGTTCTTACTACTTGAGAATATTTGATCAAGAAACTGCAGAGTTGTGTGATTTGGTGCCGGAAAACTCACGATTTTAAGGCGGCTTATGGCTTCAAAATCAGGTTCTTTCTTCTGACAAACTTGTAGGACTTCCTCCCTTGCCTTCTGTTGCCAATCTGGGTGCATAGCTAAGACTATTATTGTCCATGTGAGCAAGCTTGAGGTTGTCTCTTGGCCAGCAATGTAGAACTGCTTGCATTCCTCTAGAACATCTTCAATTGTCATTCCTCTGTTTTCCTTACCATTCGCATGTTCCACTGAATCATTTTGATGACTATATTGCAAGAGCATGCCTAGCAAGTCATCATCCTTGGATTGTCTTGTTTCCATTGCATGCTCTTTTCTCTGGATTACATTTCTCAGCATTCCAGTAATCTCCTTGTTCAATGTCTTTCTCCTCAGATTCTCTTTTGTAGGAACGAATCTGGACATGGATGTAGATCAAATGTAACTCCCAGTACATAGAGAGATGAGGGAACCAAAGGAAGAAAGCTGCAAAGGAGCTTGGAATAATGGAATTGTACCTGAAACCAGGAATGTAAACCGACTGCATGGCTTCAATAGTTAATTTTATCAGCTCCTTTTGAAGTTCAAAGATCTTCTTTCCTTCTTCATAGCTGCTTCCAAATGCTGCTCGAGAAATAACATCTGCAGTAAGCTTTTGGAGTTCAGGCCAGACATCTATTTCAAAATTTTCCTGAAGGCCAGCCATGTTCTTCCATTGTTCTATCATCTGGCAACAACTAGTCGCAAATACTGGTATCATCCCCTGTCTGAAGCAAAGGGGATAAAAGTTAAGAAAAAGTTGCAACCTATAATTTCAGTTCCACGTACTAGTGAAAAGAATTGTAATGAAGCAGACTGAGGATGCCAGAATTGAACCTTCAGTTTCTCCAAATGGAAAGCTGGGTTGATCATCATTCTCCTGTTGGCCCACTTCTCACCCTCTAGAGATGCTAACCCTCTAGAAAGAATGAGAATCAGAGGATTCAGGGGTGGCTTCTGAAAGTTACCTAACTTGTTAGACAGCACCTCTTTCATCAGTTCTGGATCCTTGATGACCAGCCTCGGCGATTTCCCAATCCAACACATTGAAATTTTTCCTGAACACGCACTACAAAATAAAATAAAATAAAATAAAATAAAAGGAAAGGAATATCATAATAAACATGGTATGCCTTCTACATTCTCAAAATGAATGCATAAAACTTGTTGGTTGCTTACCATATTTCTGCACATTGTTTAGGGTGAACGGGTCAACTCGAGGAACAATCTGGTGATTCAATGGCATAGGCATGGACCATGCTTCAGTAATCTGCTTCACAAACTCTTTCATGTCTCCTACCACAAGTCTGTAAGCTGTGCCTCTAATTCCCTGGCGCCTCAAACTCCTCTCTAGCCACTTGGGTCTCCACCAAATGGAGTAAGAAACTCTAGCAATTCCATAGAGGAGAAGAAAGAACAACGGAGAGGTTGCAAGAGAAAATGACACAAAGTCTTCCATAGAAGGCAGGTATGTGAATTCAAAACTCAGATTGTTGGACGATTCAATTCAATTCTAAGTACACTTCTATATACAAAAATAGTTTTATTCTGCATTATCTTTTTGACTTCAAATCTTTGAGCAAAATTCTTTTTCTTGGGAAGCAAACATAAAAGTGTCAAAAGGTTTAATTGATTCTATATTCTAGCTTTGGAAAGATGATGTGTGTTCTCAATAAAAAAAAAACGACAATAATCATTTGGGAGAGTTGGACTAGACATTTAAACCTTTACGTGAGGACCAAGCAGAAGCAGTTTGCTAGTGTGGACAGCAGCAGGCCGGTTTTTTTTTTTTTTTGGTTGGAGATGGGGGGCCCAATTCCGGAAAATTGATTCCGAATGAGGGCTTTAGAAACTATAGAAATTAAAAAGCCCATAGACAATAACAGTATCGAGACTGGATTGGATGCGTCTCTAAATGGGCTTTAGTAAAGATCCTTAAAAAAGATGAGTTATTGTATGGAGTTTCTTCTTTTTCAAGTGGAACTGTATATACTTTCAACATGGAGATGAGTTTTATTAAAGTAATATTAATGAATAAAACTGAGAAAAATGAACACATCATAATAATTAAAATATCAAATTTAATAATAAAAAATTAAAATATTCTTAATACATCAATAAATAAAAAAATTTACTAAAAGTATTTAAATAACTTCATAGAGAGTTTTATTATTTAAAGTGTTAGAATATTTTAATTTTAATTTTTTTAATAAATTAATATAAACAAGTTTTATTTAAATTATTTTAATAAATTTATGATCCAAAAGTACAATATGACTTGAAACACTTTTTTTTATAATAATAATAATAATAATAATAATAATAATAATTTTTGCTAATCACCCCGATGTCTCTCTTTTTTTTATTTTTTTCAAAATCTACGTCCTTAAATGTTTTGCAGTTGATTTGGTAGCTGGGTTGGTGAGGTACATGCATGTACTTATGTCCAAAGGAGATGGGTTTGAATTACCCCACTCCAAATCTAGTCCTGAATATTTTCAGTTGTTTTTTCAATTTGGCCATTATTTATTTTTATTTATATTAACTAAATCCTTTTTCCTCTTAATTAACCTCTTTGCTTATATTGAATTCCCAATGCAAACTGCTAAAAGTTTCAAGAGCTATTAATTACAAAACTTCTAAGTTTGTCATTTTGAAATTAAGAATCACAGTGAGTCTTTTTTTTTTTTTTTTTTACTTTTCGGTATCTGGTAACCACATTGAGTTTCGATTAATCTGAAAACGAATTTGAGTTTTGATTAATCCGAAAACGAACCGCATCGGACCCTATTGGGGGGAAGTTTTCCCAACGTCTGTTTCTTCATTCATAATACTCAAACTTGAGATCTTGTTTAAAAGAAACTGAACTCCTTTCACTCGGACCAACAAATCGTTGGTAGAATCACAGTGAGTCTTTAACTCAAAGTAGTTTGGCATTTTGAAATGATACAAAAGGATGGTTACAAGGTAGGATGTCATTCAATATGTACTTTGAAATATCAACCTAGCTTAGGGATTGGGAGGGAAATATACTTAAAATTGGGATTGACTTGGCTTAAATGTTGAGCATAATTAACGAGAATGTGGTACAAATGTTGTGCTAACATGTCACTATTTTCACTTAATGCTCGCGAAAGGAAAAGTATGAGAAACGCGAGATCTTTTTCCGATCTCTTTGCAAAAGACAAATCTATGTATATCAACGATCTTTATTATTTTTCAAATGACTTGTTGATAGTTTCACTTTTCTTCGATTTAGGTCTCGAGTTAAAATTTTTTAAATACAAAAACATGTGTTAAAAGTATTTTTTTTTTATGAAATCTGATATGACTTAATTTTGAATTACTCAGATCTCAATAAGATTTTTAAATACTTAGGGTTTAATACCTAAAAAAAATTTCTCTAGCTCTTCCAAAACATCTCAAGAAGCGAAATGGGCGGTGGAAATGTAACCCGTGTTGATTGGGTAATTAGAAAGTGGTATTAAAGTTGAAAGGGATTGCATAACTAACTTTAGCAGCATGCACTACCTCTTATATTGATTTCTTTTCTAATATATAGGACATGTTCGGTTCAATTGTTAGATAACAATTAATAACTGATAGATTATACCAATGGTTTTCGCCTCATTAGAGAAAACAACGATCATATATATGTTTTATAATAATTAAGTCAAACAAAACCTTAAACTAAAAATAACATATACACATATATGGAAGTAGGAATAAGGGATATGTTGCTAGAAATTACAAATCGTAGAATTAATATTTTTTTAATTTTCAATTAGTTATTTAGGAATGCTATTGTTAATTGTATTTGCTATGTAATTGGGTTTTTCTCATACGACTTGACATTGCCCAAAACAAGTGTTTTGCAAATCCCTATTGCATTCACCCCATAAGGTTGGGGTCTTAGCTAAGAAAAGAACTTGAGTGGCTAAGAAAGGAACTTGAGTGGCTGTTCAATTAATCCATATATAAGAGACAAAGTAATAGTCTTTCTCCATCTTTGGGAAAATCTCTAGGGTTTCTAACTTTCCATACAGGGATTGAAAAAAAGTGATCATTTGGGATTTGATTTGGGTAAAATCCTAACTATAATTCAAGCTACAAACACGTTAAAATTCAATTCCACTTTGAAGGCCAAACAATGGACTTTTCTCTTTGTGTTTTGGAAGTTTATGTATAGAATATGATATTTTCACCTATGGATTCAACTTTTTCTTTTGTGCATGTCGTCATTGCTGAGAATGGGATGGGTTGAGTTGAGAATAAAAAAAGGAGAGGGATAGACAATGATGTGAGACGTTGCATTATATATAGGGACAATAACCCTTTCGATTCACGTGCCCATTGGGCTTTTATTTCATTGTTTCTATCTTTGTTTCCCTACTTTTTCTTATGCCCATTTCAAATTTTCTTGCCAACCAATCAATCATTTGAATCTTTAAGAGATCTTGATTCCCTTAGCTTGAATCATTATGTTGTCAAGTGATAGCCTTTTTTTTTTTTTTCTAATTCATTTCAAGTTAATCATATTTTTGGGGTGATGGAAGTGTTAAAATGTTTGAACTTTTGGATTCCAAAGAATCAAGGCTCAGGTAATGGGATAGAGAACACATCATGTGTTATGCTGCAATAAGTAATACAGATAGCTAAAGGTGATGCTGATAAAAAGAAAAGAGAGAGAGAGAGAGAGAGAGAGAAAAAAGAGAGATAGAAAAAGGTGATTATGCAGTCAGGGTATAGTTTGTAATACTCGTATGTTTGTTTACAAGTTAAGGTACCTTTTGTATTCAAGGGATAAAATTCTTTCTTTCTTTCTTTCTTTCTTTCATTTTTTTTTTAAATAAAAAAATGGTAGTGAGATACAGAATGACATCAATTAATAACAACCAGTTAATTTGTCCATTTGAAAGATTTTATTTATTTTCTGTTATTTTTTTGTAATTTAATTTAGTTTGTTATTCATTATCTGCTATTTTCATATTTTG